AGAACTTTTACCCCTTTTTTTTTTTTTTTGGTATTTCCTTTTTAGCCAACCCTGATTTTGAGATTTCTTCCCGAGGGCCTACACATGCTGATTTAGATTCTGAAAAGGGCTGTTGCATCTTAGCTATATAGATAAGTAGTTATGGTATTCTAGCTGCTTCCATTTTATGCGGTGTAGAAGATGGCGTTACATTCGGAGGAAGAGAAAAAAGAGGATTACCTTTTCAAGATTGTTTTGATTGGTGATTCTGCAGTCGGTAAATCCAATTTGCTTGCTAGATTTGCTAGAGATGAATTTTATCCGAACTCAAAATCGACAATTGGAGTAGAATTTCAGACCCAAAAGATGGACATCAACGGAAAGGAGGTTAAAGCACAGATATGGGATACGGCTGGTCAAGAACGATTTCGTGCAGTTACTTCTGCATATTACAGAGGTGCAGTTGGAGCTCTTCTGGTTTATGATATCAGTAGGCGCCTGACTTTTGATAGCATTGGTCGGTGGCTTAATGAACTTACAATATGCTATTAATTTATTTTATGCTTTTAGTTGCTGCCATGTGACCAGGAGGTCACGAGTTCGAACCGTGGAAACAACCTCTTGCAGATATGCAGGGTGCGTACAATAGACCCTTGTGGTCCGATCCTTTCCGGGACCCTGCGCATAGCGGGAGCTTAGTGCACTAGGCTGCCCATTTAGTTTATGTTTTGTTTGGCAAGCATTGTTGTTGACTTGTATCTTTAATTTTTTGGACAGCTCATTCCGACATGAATGTGGTGACAATACTCGTTGGCAACAAATCCGATCTCAAAGATGCTCGGGAGGTTACAACAGCAGAAGGCAAAGCCTTGGCTGAGGCAAAGGGACTATTTTTCATTGAAACTTCAGCTTTGGATTCGTCGAATGTAGCTTCCGCTTTTCAGACGGTTGTTAAGGAGATCTATAATATTCTAAGCAGGAAGGTTATTCAATCTCAAGAGCTCCAGAAAAAGGATTCGGGGCGACTAGCAAATGGTAAGACAGTGGTTTTGCAAGCTGATGGAAACCAAGAAACAGATTCAGAAAAAAAGAAAGGTGGATGTTGTTCATCTTAAGCTATAGTATGGGGAGGACATTTTCCTCTTGTGAGGCCCAAGACATGTCAACACTTCTTCTCCCATTGGTGTAATTCAATTTCCTGTTACTGTTGAAGAAAAAGTTAAACTTTCTTTAGAAAATGTAAATTATCTCAACGGGAGAAGATCCATTTTTTTTTTTTTTTTTTTTTTTTTTTTTTTTTTTTTTTTTTACTGTTTTTGAGTTTTCAGTTTTGTATAATTCAATTTGTTCAGCTGCTTCTTTTCTGTCTGTGTTTCTGTGACGCCCATGATGGAGGGCGAGCTGATGAGGGCGGGTCAAGCAGGACTGATAGGCTTCTATGACGGCAAACTTCTGAAAAAGGAGTGCATATGTCGCTTTAATACAATGTATACAGTATTTTGTTCGTCTTCATTTTTAGTTTTAATACAATGTATATAGTATTTTGCTTGGCCGGAAAACGTCATTTCCGGCGAACTTTCTTCTGGTCTTTGCTATTTAGTCACATACAATAATACAAATACATTATATTCTGTACAAATATATTCAAATACATTATATTTTTTATAAATATATTATTTTTTCGCCTGCATTTATGTATTCTGAAAGTCTGTATTTTTTGAATACAACCGAATATCACTGTGTTTTGTAATTTTTTGTTGTTTGAATACAGTCGAATTGAATATGGTGAATTGAATACAATGTATAATGGTGAATAATGAATATCTGTGAATTGAATACAATGTATACAGTCGAATTGAACAGAATGGTATGTACTCTATTTTTTTATTACCTCATTGTATTTATAAATACAGTCGCGCGAATACATGGAATACAATACAATAGCAGCGAAATTTATGTAGAATTGATTTTGTTGAGTTAAATTAGGAGTGATACACGTTAATTGATCCTCTTTCCGTTATTAAACAACTGAATTCTCCTATTTTTAGGCGAATTTTCGCTACTGTATTCATGAATACAGTAGCGCGAATACAGCGAATACAGTCGCACAGTTGGACTCCCCTATTTTTTAGGCGAATTCTGCTAGTGTATTCATGAATACAGTAGCGTGAATACAGCGAATACAATCGCATAACAACTAAATAGTAGATATAGGAAGTAATTATATATATGGTAGTTATAGGAAGTTAATAGTCACTAAACAATAGTGATTTTAGAAAATTATTCAATTGATCCACTATACCTCAATCTTAAGCTAGTTAGAGTTGAGTATATTAATTTTCTGTATCCATTCTATTCTAGTCATGTTCACAATGTCTAATACAAAAATCATGTCTTGACAAATTAAAGGATTTAAATCTCACACTTATCTATTGTCACGACCTAAAATCCTAACCTGTCGTGATAGCGCCTATCTCAATACTAGGCAAACTGACAACCTCAATAAGCCACATTTTCTCTTAAGTTTGAAATCATAATATTTGAATTTTCATAGAAAAATCTCATAAATTACTGACATAAGATACATTCCCAAAACTCGGTGTCACTAAGTACATGAGCATCTAAATGATAACAAAGTCTGACTGATAAAAAAATACTGTCTGAAAAATGTAGAACAATACAGAAGAGAGTCAAGGTCTACGGACGCCAAGCAGCTACCTCGATAGTTTCCACAGATAAAGCTCCAAAAAACTAGCAACCACCGTGTCCGGAGGTACCTGGATCTGCACACGAGGTGCAGGGTGTAGTATGAGTACAACCAACTCAGCAAGTAACAATACTAAATAAAGAGCTGAAGATAGAGACGAGTTTCACAGTTGAGCCCAATTACAGTATTTTCCAACATAATAAGATATGCATGCTTCTATGTTCAACATTTAAGGACAAAACAATAATTTCATATCAAGTTCGACTAAAAAAGAAGATAATATCTTTCAGAAATTTCCAACACAGTGATATATGACAACTGTAGAGCAATAAGAACGAAATCAAATGCATCCTCTCAGGACCACAGTCACTCAGCCATTTCATTCACTCACCACTTAGCACTTGCACTCAGTAGGTACATGCGCTCACTGGGGGTGTGTACAGACTCCGGAGGGGCTTCTTCATCCCAAGAGATATAATCTACACGGACAACTCACGTGCTACATGGACAACTCACGTGCTATAGTATCAATATCTGAATTCGCACGGACAACTCACGTGTTTCACAGACAACTCACGAGTTATAATATAATATATGGATCCGCACGGACAACTCACGTGCTATAATATAATATCTGGATCTGCACGGATAACTCACGTACTATAATATAATATCTGGATCCGTACGGATAACTCACGTGCTGCATGGACAACTCACGTGGTATAGTATAATATCTGGATTAGCACGGACAACTCACGTGCTGCACGGACAACTCACGTACTGCACGGACAACTCACGTGCTATTAGGGGTGTTCAAAATCGAACCGAAACCGAAAACCGAACCGAAACCGAAGCTTAATGGCTTATTGGTATCGGTTTAACGGTTTAACGGACGGGGAATGGGGANTTAACGGCTTATCGGTTTGGGGGCGGATTATTCAATTTTCTTAACGGATAATCCGTTAACCCGTTAAGAATATATATGTATATATATATATATATATATATAAAATTTATTTTTATCCATATATATATATTAAATAATCAAAAA